CAAATATTATTTTTCCCTAAGAATGTATAAGAGTACAAATTTATTTTTCTTTTACTATTTTTAAATTGGTCTTAATCACCCAAATCCTTTTTTTCTATAGAATCACAGAGGAATAAACAGAAGGAAAGCAATAATGTCTAAAAACACTGGAAAATTGAATTAACTATAAAATGTATCTTATAACTTTGCAAAAAGTGATATTTGGGGAATTATGGTTACTTGATCAAATAGTTTTATAAAGGGAATATCTGGGATTGAGCATTATTTAGAATTTTGCTCAAGAAATTAATATATCGTGGTATTGGTAATGCAGGCAATGTTTTAAATATTATGTAAGTGCATTCAGAAGTGTGGGTTTGAGATGGAGCATCATCTGCTACACTTTGAGTAGCAAGGCTTTAGAAATTTAGTGGCCCTTGACTCTAACTGTATATTAAAATCTTGTAAGAGTTAAAAACAACAACAACAAAACAGTGCCTGGACCCCACCCCAAAACAATCAAATCAGAATTTCCTCAGAAAATTCTAAATATTGAGCCAATATTAAGAATCACAGATTCAATGCTCATTTTTACTGATGAAGATATCTAAGTGAAAATGTGAGGTGTCCTGTCTACCCTCTGTGTATGTGTGTGACCAAGAATGCAAGAAGAAAGGGCTGTAAATAAGTAACAAGAAATTGTAAATAATTTAAAATCAAATGATTGTTAAGAGAAGCCAGGGGGCTGCCAACAACAGAGGAAATGAGGTGACGGCTGCCAAGGGTGAAGATTGTGAAATGATGTGCAGTTTGCTACTTAATGAAAATGTAAATTCCACTTAAATCCATTATCAACTCTGTGTATACCAGAGAGCTGGCTTTGGAAAGATATATCTATGAAACTTTCTACTAAAAGTTTGACTTTGGGGGGAGAACTGGGGAACAAACTCCAGAGGTAAAAGTAAGGGAATCTCCATAAAAAGTAGTTCCACCAATGTAACCACATTTGTGTAAAATTTTGTCATTTGTACGTATTCTTATGAGATTCAGTGAGTTGAAATAGTTATAATCTGTTGGCAATTACTACCAATTTTCTGTTGTCACTTTCTATAGATTTCCTGCCATCAATTCTGCAAATCAAAAGAAAAGGCTGAAAATTATTTTAAACTGATTAATGGCAGTTTTGTTATAGACAGTCTTTGCCTTGGATTTAGCAAGTCACTTGGCTATTATCTGATTAATACCAAAATAAACTGTCAACGCCAGTGTCTGTTTCTTTTCCCAGGTTCCTCCCCTGGCCCTGGATTCTCCTAAACTCTTATCCAAGGTTTTGATGTGCTAATTTGCTCATCAATACACACTAGCCTTCCTGTGTTTAATTAATAAATATTTAGTTTTGACAAAGGCAAGCGAAACAGAAGCCTAATTCATGAATCCATCATTGTTTATCCCTCCACTGTGACCCTCACTTGAAATTGGTCTTGAGTCTTATCAGTCAGCTCCATTTTATGCCTTCCATTTGCATATCAAATATATCATTGTAAGCAGGCTGCTCACAGCCTTTGCTTGCAGGCAGTTACAGAACCAGTCACCCACTGGAGCTGCAGGGAAACATCTGTAAACCCACTGTGATACCAGGAGAAGAATGGGGGACAGGGGATTAACCTCATCTCCCATTCAGATTCTCTCCTCCAGAAATCAGGATCTTTCATGTGTCCTGTTTTCAAGGTTTAACTAATTGACTGATTGACAATTTTTAATGTGTCTACCCCCCCTCCCCGAAATTAAGATGACAACACAGGATTCTCCAACATTTAAACTATGAGTTGCTTGTCACTAAAACCTCATCTAATCACTAAGGATGCTTCAGCAGATTTAAGGGTGACTCAGCTAAAATGCATCATCTTTATCAGAGAATTGGGGTACACTGGAACATTAGTTGGCTTCCATATATCTTCCTTTGAAACAATTTTCTTCCTAAATGAAGAACAGGCCACTGATTCAAATCAAGTCCCATTGTTTCTTGGTACTCAGAAATGTGGACTTAAGAGAATTCTGAGCACTACCATAATTCCATCCTATCACTCAGATTGGGCCTGCCCACGTTTATCGATCCAGCTCTAACTCAGAATTCACCTTTTATGGTTATGTGACACCCTGTGTTTGTAGACAACTCAAATGTAATACTCAAATCTCTGGTAGGGTTAAAAATATTCCAAAAATATTAGATTGTGTTTCAAAGCTGTTACATTGGTGTGAGCCACTTCTCTAAAGAGCACTTGAAAGCAGGATAGCCAAGCAAAAGCCAGCCCTAAGGCTGATGTCTGGCTTTTAAGAACTCTACACAGAACCCCAGAAATAAGAAAAACAGGAAAATAATACAATTATGGACTGCATTAATTATGCACTTAAAAGTAACATTGTCTCCTTTTAACAAACTAAAATATTACAACTTAGTGCCACAGTGAGCTCTATTCGGTGTGCTAAATGAATTAGGCGGGGTCACTGGAAAACAACACGGTGGCTCTTTCCCTAGGGCATTATTACCGGGTGTAGCACTAGATTTGGAGACAGAGACCTAAGTCTTATCTCAACTCTACTACCAACTTTCTGCCATTTGAATAACTTCCATCCTGCCTCTGAACATCTATCTCCCACTCCAGAACAGGAGACAGTTGGATTACGCTCCCATGTACTCAACTGTGTGGCTAGGAAATGTTACTAAGTTTTCCGTTGAAAAGATTTATGTGGTCACCCTGGCTGGTGTGGCTCAGTTGGTTGGAGCGTCCTCCCGTACACCCAAGAGCCGTGGGTTTGAGTCCCTCCCGGGGCACATCCTATGTGTGTTCAAAACAGTTTGGGTGGCGCCCTTGCCGATTTGGCTCAGAGGATAGAGTGTCGGCCTGTGGACTTAGGCTCCCAGGTTTGATTCCAGTCAAGGGCACATGTCCGAGTTGCGGGCTTGGTCCCCAGTAGGGGGTGTGCGGCAGGCAGCCAATCAATAATTCCCTCTCATCATTGATGTTTCTCTCTCTCTCTTCCTCTCTGAAATTAATAAAACTATATTTTTTAAGAAAAACAGTTTGGGTGGCACTGAACAAGATTTTTCAGAGGGCTTTCCAACTGTCATCGACTGGCCCATGTTCAGACAGGCCAGGCTTGCTGATGGCATCACAGAGCATAGTGACTGAAAGTGGAAGCTCAGGAACCAGACAGCCTGGGTTCGAGCCTGTAACTTCTCTACTCCCTAGTTTTGTGACCTCACTTAACTTCTCTGTACTTGGTTCTTTCATCTACAAAACTGAGATAATAGTATCATCTGTTTCACAGGGTCATTAGGAGGATTGAATGAGCTAATAAGATAAGTTAAATGCTGAGCAGATGACCTAACACCTAGTAAGTGCCATAGAAGTGTTAACATTGTCATTGCAATATCATAAACCCTTGTCAAACGCAAGGATCCAAGAGCAACAAGAGTAGATAAAGGAAATTGACATTTGCTGAGCATATACTAGTACAGTATGCCAGATATAATCTCACCAAATCCCCTAATAAAACTAAGATCAAAATATGATTATTTCATTTTTCAGGTGAGTAAAATAAAACTCTCAGGTTTTAAGCAGATATGAAGGTGAAAAAAATGAACCCCAATTCAGGTATTCCTGACTTCAAAAGTCAAGTTCTTCCTGATACATTACACTGCCTTAAAGGGTGAAAAGTAATAACCTTTCTGTCATTTTATAGATGAAGGAATCAGACAGACAGACTGAAGTATGTCCCGGGATCACACAGTAAGATTCGAATTAGAAAATAATCCGTGTTCTGTCATTCAACCCTGTAAAATATTCCTCACCGGAATAGAAGGACATTTGAAAAGGGAAAAGGGAACTATCTCTAATTTTGATCTGGTTGCAATTTTTTTTCAGTTAAGATGGCTCTTCATTAAGTACCTGTGTATGCATTATGTCCCATTTTAGCAGAGATTTTGCTCTCCCCTACCTAACTCAGATTGTGTTTTTAGAGAAGCAGAGCTCTAAAGGGGACATTTGAAGGTCAAATTAATTCTACTGCCTCCAGAAAGGATTGGATCAAAATAATTCTCAAACAATAATCCCGCACCCTATTCTCCTTTTAAATGTGAAAAGAAGAAAATTCTGTGACTTTGGAAAAAATCCAAATATTAATAATATATTTAAAATTTCATAATATGCAAGGATCTTTGAGATATTTGTGAAAATAAAAACACATTAATCAAAAAAGAGAGAGAGAATAAACGGAATAAAAAATGAATTGATTTTCCATGATGGAGCATAGCATTGGGCATTAAGACCTAAATTTCAGGACTATGGACTTGGGAAGTAATTTATTGGCTATTAATCTTCACTTTTAGCAGTCAAGGCCCAACTTTACTTAGATATGTCTGCTGCATGCAGAGATTTAAAATATGGGGTCAAAAATATATCCCTGCCACATATCCCATACTGCACTTCTGCTTGGTTCATCTATCACTAAAACTGGTTTTTTACAGCAACATCATAGATGATAGAGCTTAGAGAGATTTCCATTTTGCAAGTAAAAACAGGCAGACAGGTGGTGCTCAGCCTGCAGTGTAGATGGAGCCGCCAGCTGCTCAATTCCCATCATCAGAGCCTGTCCTGGGACCACAGGACATCTGATTGAGCAGGCAACTTGCAGGGAGAGGGAGAGGCGCATGGAAGATTTCTCAGCATCTGAAATTCTCCATGTAGGCTCAGTGAAATAAGAGAAGGAATGGTGATAGTTACTCTGATTTGGATGAGAGAAAGCAATCACTTTCCTTGGGGGTTTATGATGATGAGAGACCTAAACAGGGGTTGACATAGGACTTACTTTAACCTATGTAGCAGATAACCAGGTATCTGTCTGCATAACATAACTAGTACCTCCAACAGTTGAAATTTGGAGGAAGGGTACAGATTTAGGAGGGTGCCCTGGCAGGTCCTATTCCATATTTTTTTTTCTTTTTTTCTTTTTTCTTTCAGATGTATATTCGTTGGAACGAGTGTGCTGTCCCCTTGCAATTGCTCACTGAATGCAGTGCCTGCCTCAAAAATGAAAATGTTTTTGGCCAAGTTTGTGCTTTGGATGCTATTTCCCCATTCTCAGAAACCCAGTACATGTTGAGGCTTTTTCCTCCAGGATTCAAAGAGATAAATGTTGAATTTGATCCCTGGGGGTATGGCAGAAGCTACCTTACCAGAATGTAAAAAAAATAAAAATAAATGGAAAATTCCTAAAATCCTAAGATTTTTGTGAGGCAAATGCGAAAGAATTCTTAGGTCGCAATTCCTGCCCTTCAACTACAGGTATAATTAAAGGTAAATGTAAAGCAAAGTGGTAGTTGCTGGGAGAACAATTTACTAAGACTTTCTGTAATCTCGTTTACTTTAAAGTCCAGGATCTTCCCAAAAGCTGACCTTCTGCTTGAATTTCTCCCAGTGCTTACTCATACCAGTCTTATCTATGGTGTAAAATGGCTAAATCTGTCACTAGGGAGAAATATTCCCTATTTGTGTGAGCAAGGAGTAACTCATATTTATAAATGGCCAAACAGAAATGATCATTATGAATCTTTCACGACCACTGAAGAGGAAGATGAGTCAAGAGTATTTATTTCCTAGGCTCTATTCTTTAAGAAAAGCTAGTGTTTCTTGTTTTGTTTGTTGTCACAGCCACTATGCCTGTAAGACTGCCCACTTCATCTTTTTTTTAACTCTGAAGATTCCTAAGCATATATTCTCTACTCTAAGGATACAGTGAATACATTTATGGGGAACATTTCTTGACTCCTTTTATTAAAATGAAATTTAGGAATGCAGAAACCATTCAAAGAGTGGCTATGGTAAAGAAGTCTTATGTGTTAATATGCTCTATTTGTGTATGTAAGGATCAAACTTTTGAAAGACTTAGTTAAATGGTGCCATTTCAGAGACAAAAAAAAAATCTCACTGTCCCCAAATGTCTTTCTCTCCAGCTTCCCACGCATTTAATTTATGCAACTGGAGAAGTCTCCAGAAAGCCCTTTAACATGCAAATATGTTTTTACCCTAGAGAGGCTGCACATTATCGCATTAGCACAGATTAGTTTATCAGATTAGCAGAGGGTGGCCCTGAGGAAAAGAAACACTGGACAGGTACAGTTAACAGGGCACACTCCTCAGGGAATAGGGACCCGGGAACCAAAGGCCTTCTATCAGGAAGCTATTGGGCCAGAAGTCACCTGGTTGTCAGGCTCCCATTTCCAGACATTAGCCCTAGGCACACCATAAATTCTGGGACCCTGAGTCTGTTGTCCAAAGTCCACAAGTCTGTGGTTGAATGCTGGCCCTATGATTCCCTAAATTAACATTTCTGTGCAACTTCCTCATCTGTAAAGCAGGAATAACCATAGTACCTACTTCATAGGACTATTGAATTAAAGAAATAAATTCACCTGTATGAATGGTCTCAATTTTGTAAACACACACACACATCCATAGAAAAAAGTTTGGAAGAATATTCATAACTATCTCTCAGTGGCAGAAATTATGACTGATTATTTTAATGTTTTTCCCTTATGCATTTTCTAAATTTCTTGGAATAGATATGATTAGTTTGATCATAAGAATGTGTAAAAGACTAATAGATGCTTCATGTAAAATTTGATCATTTGCATTTTCTTTATAATAACAAAAAAATTGGAAACAGCAAACAGAGCCCATTAATAGGGATTAGGTCAATAAAATACAGTTCATCCATATAGTAGAATTATGCACCTACAATTTTAAAAAGTAAGGTTGAAGAATGTTTATTGGCATAAAAAATACTCATGATACAGTATATGAAAAATTAGTAACAATGTTGAATAAAAATTCTTAGTTTATGAAAACTAAATAGTTTTATTTGACCATAAGTAACAAAACATATATACTCCCAAAATGCTAATGCTTGATTATCCCTGCATCACAAGATCGGAAGGCTCTTTAATTTCTTGTGTACATTTTTATAAATCTTCCAAAACTTTCAGAGTTCTAGTAAAAAAATGGAGAAGTTGAGATTCAGGCAAGAAATTATATTAGTAGACAAAAAACTGGATGATCTCCTTGCTCTTTTTCTGCTCAGAGTTGGTATTGTTCAGTTCCAAATTGGATGTGTAAGGAATGAGGAAGTGTGAGAACTTGAAGAAAGAAAACTTGAAGAGATTTCATGATGCTGGACCAGAGATTAGAGTTGAACCATGAGTTCCAGACAAGAACTTCCCTACATCTGTGAGTATGGAAGACCAAAGATAAATTCTGTCTACTTCCAGACTTACCAAGTCAACCAAAAGGTCACATTCAAGATCAAAGTATCTAATGAGCTCTTCTTCCCACTCGTAGAATTCCTGTGGCCATTAAAGAGAGAAAACAGAAAAAAAGTAAATATGAGTAAGCTCATTTAATAAGAAAGGGATGTAAGACTGGTCAAAATAAAGACAGTAAGTAACTCCAGAGTCATGACTGT